TAACTTTCCTTTTAAGGGGAAATGGTGTTTAAAGTAGTAGATGAGTGAGTATTAGTAAATTAAATGAGCTTTTACCTAAGGTGGTCATGGCCATTTTGAAGCAATAGGATTTTATTTTGTGCCATTATTACCTAGCAATTATTTAAAAAGTAATCCAGAATGAAAATAAAATGTTTCAAAATGTAGTGAAGTTCTTGCAAATTGATCAAGGGCACTCTTGTTTCACTATTTGTAGCTAATTCTACGCTAAACAAAGAAAGTCTATACATCATGATATTTTCTCAACCATCTGAGTGATACAAAATAAGAATTATAATGATACTTTTATAACGTGTATACTCACTCATCTATTTAATATCTCCAATTTTCTTATGTTAGCTTCATTGTTGCAATCTGGTAAATTTGCATACTAATTAATGATTAATTGCCCAATAACTATAACTATTAAATATATATATATATATATATACATTTTAGGTTGGAGGAAAAGCCTCCAAGGGTGGAAGTTGTTGTCTCTACAGAAGAATCAGATACTAGCAATGCTTGATACATAAAAGGATTAAATAAAATGGGGGCACCAAAAGTTTCTAGATGTGGAAGAAGAAGGAGAACAATTGCTGGTAAAAGTTCAATTACTCAGCAACCAGCCAGTCATGACTCCAACAAACTGAGCAAATTTGAGTTAGCTGATCTGGAATGGACTAATAGGATTCCAGAGTGTCCAGTGTACCACCCATCAGAGCATGAGTTTGAGCATCCATTGGTTTATCTGCAGAAGATTGCTCCAGAGGCCTCTAAATATGGTACGTGATAACAATTTATGGATGTTTTGTCTTTTAACCACACATATTTCATCACTGTGTTTATGAGATAAAGGCTTCATCTGTCATTAAAAGGTTTATACCAAGAACTCCCCCTCTATCAGAAATTGATTTGATGTCATATATTAGTATGGGATAATAGTTAAAATTGTCACTATATGAGATACCCTCTACCCCAACATATATATATAGTAATTATAAAAATAAAATTCTTCATCATTAAAAACTAAATCTCCAACCACACAAGGGTAAAGAGTTCACATTCATAGACTTAATCCAAATAACATGTCAGTTGAAATTACAAAGAAATAAAACTGAGTTTTCAAATAGTTTAATGGAAATAGCATCCTAAACTAAGCCTAGTTATGCCCCGATGTCACATATTCTATCAGAGCATGCCCAACTGAAGCCTAAGCCTCATCACCAACATCCTCATGTTGATGATCACCTGCAACACAATTTAAACACATACAAAGAACAAGAAGGGAGCGAGAAACATCTCACTCAGGTTCAGGTGCAGAAATAAAGGTTAGATAACACACACACAAATCATAACAAAGCACGACACAAAGCACACATTAATTAAGCACAACTCAAGTCATACATACATTAGTAGCATATACACAGTCACTCGTTATGCAATAATGCCATGGACTCGACTCACAAATGCATGCATGTGGCGCCAGTAACATATCACATGATGTACTGCTGCTAGCAACACACGTAGAGTAGTCTTGGAGTACATGCCGGGTCACACCCTCTACGCACTCTCACTAGAAGGTCATATTACTAGGGTCTCGTCGGGATAGCTAAGCTGTGCAAGATACATCCCATGCACACAATGGGCGAGACTAGGACTTACAAACCGAGCTATCCCCAAGGACTAATCTCCAAGATTTTACACAAGGGGGCCTTCCCTGGCAGTGTATTCTATATCTTACCCTTAAAACATTTATGCACATGATGCATGTCACACATTCACAATTTCATTGACTCAACATTTCACTTGTCATGGAATTTCATGTCTTGTCTCATTTCATCCCATTTCACATTCTTATAATCATAGCTTATCTCATTTCATCACATTCTCATAGTCATAACTTATCTCATTTCATCACGTTTCACATTCTCATAGTCATAGTGTTCACATTAGTGGATAATAGTTAAAATTGTCACTATATGAGATACCCTCTACCCCAACATATATATATAGTAATTATAAAAATAAAATTCTTCATCATTAAAAACTAAATCTCCAACCACATAAGGGTAAAGAGTTCACATTCATAGACTTAATCCAAATAACATGTCAGTTGAAATTACAAAGAAATAAAACTGAGTTTTCAAATAGTTTAATGGAAATAGCATCCTAAACTAAGCCTAGTTATGCCCCGATGTCACATATTCTATCAGAGCATGCCCAACTGAAGCCTAAGCCTCATCACCAACATCCTCATGTTGATGATCACCTGCAACACAATTTAAACACATACAAAGAACAAGAAGGGAGCGAGAAACATCTCACTCAGGTTCAGGTGCAGAAATAAAGGTTAGATAACACACACACAAATCATAACAAAGCACGACACAAAGCACACATTAATTAAGCACAACTCAAGTCATACATACATTAGTAGCATATACACAGTCACTCGTTATGCAATAATGCCATGGACTCGACTCACAAATGCATGCATGTGGCGCCAGTAACATATCACATGATGTACTGCTGCTAGCAACACACGTAGAGTAGTCTTGGAGTACATGCCGGGTCACACCCTCTACGCACTCTCACTAGAAGGTCATATTACTAGGGTCTCGTCGGGATAGCTAAGCTGTGCAAGATACATCCCATGCACACAATGGGCGAGACTAGGACTTACAAACCGAGCTATCCCCAAGGACTAATCTCCAAGATTTTACACAAGGGGGCCTTCCCTGGCAGTGTATTCTATATCTTACCCTTAAAACATTTATGCACATGATGCATGTCACACATTCACAATTTCATTGACTCAACATTTCACTTGTCATGGAATTTCATGTCTTGTCTCATTTCATCCCATTTCACATTCTTATAATCATAGCTTATCTCATTTCATCACATTCTCATAGTCATAACTTATCTCATTTCATCACGTTTCACATTCTCATAGTCATAGTGTTCACATTAGCACATTCTCATTCACATCATGTCTCATGTCATTTGTTCATATTTCACATAGTCATACTCATAATTGTTCCTCATGCCTGTTTCGCATAAAGATCTCTCAGGAACCCATAGAGCACTCTAATTCTTATCAAAACTTGTTTACTTTTAAAATTAATCACATATTTATACATCACATCCAACAAGGAACACAACAGAACAATCAGAAGGTAAAATAGAAAACATTCATATTTTGTCTGTTCCTAGAAGCATGCATCAAGCAAGGGTTGGGGGCCAATCCTACTAACCAATAATTATTCTCACACCCCGAGAGGTTTCTCACTCTCCCCTTACCTGGATAAACAGAAGACGAAGCTAGAGCGGAACCTGATTGATCTCCTTCTCTTGGTTCTTCTTGGTCTTCAGAGAGTGTGTCTAGAAGCAGTGCTAGAGCCCGCTATTTATAGATGTCAGAAGTGGTCAGAACGATCCGTTTCAAATTCGAAACGGCCCGTTTTGGATCCTTTCATCATTGAAATTACAAAGAAATAAAACTGAGTTTTCAAATAGTTTAATGGAAATAGCATCCTAAACTAAGCCTAGTTATGCCCCGATGTCACATATTCTATCAGAGCATGCCCAACTGAAGCCTAAGCCTCATCACCAACATCCTCATGTTGATGATCACCTGCAACACAATTTAAACACATACAAAGAACAAGAAGGGAGCGAGAAACATCTCACTCAGGTTCAGGTGCAGAAATAAAGGTTAGATAACACACACACAAATCATAACAAAGCACGACACAAAGCACACATTAATTAAGCACAACTCAAGTCATACATACATTAGTAGCATATACACAGTCACTCGTTATGCAATAATGCCATGGACTCGACTCACAAATGCATGCATGTGGCGCCAGTAACATATCACATGATGTACTGCTGCTAGCAACACACGTAGAGTAGTCTTGGAGTACATGCCGGGTCACACCCTCTACGCACTCTCACTAGAAGGTCATATTACTAGGGTCTCGTCGGGATAGCTAAGCTGTGCAAGATACATCCCATGCACACAATGGGCGAGACTAGGACTTACAAACCGAGCTATCCCCAAGGACTAATCTCCAAGATTTTACACAAGGGGGCCTTCCCTGGCAGTGTATTCTATATCTTACCCTTAAAACATTTATGCACATGATGCATGTCACACATTCACAATTTCATTGACTCAACATTTCACTTGTCATGGAATTTCATGTCTTGTCTCATTTCATCCCATTTCACATTCTTATAATCATAGCTTATCTCATTTCATCACATTCTCATAGTCATAACTTATCTCATTTCATCACGTTTCACATTCTCATAGTCATAGTGTTCACATTAGCACATTCTCATTCACATCATGTCTCATGTCATTTGTGTGTCTATGACAATTAACAAATATTAAACAGGAAAGTGACAAACCATGCAAAAGAAAAAAGCCAATAGAAATCCAATAAATCAAGTCTACTACTTAAGTCTAAGCAAACATAATATTTAACATCATTATTCACTTTACAGGCCATTTCTTAATATTAAATGATACTTTGATGATGATGAGGCTATATGTCAACCTTCAAGAAACCAACAACAGATGTGCAAGTAAAAGAACCATGGATATCACAAACAACATGCAACTCAGTCTCAGACAAACATGATTCATAGTTTTCTATTTTCAGCCAAAGCTTTCTCTTTCATCCTCAAAATATAAGAATAAATTTCTTTGATGTTCACATTTAGCAAACAATACTGTCAATGAAAAACAGAATGTTAAACAATAAGAGCTATTCAATGTTTAATTCTGGCAGCAAGTGTGATTCAATATATAATTCCAACACACTTGATAGTACAGCTTTAGCATTGAACAAAATCTTAATCCATGTTCTAAAGGACCAGATAATGCTTTCTATCATGTGTAAATGAACAGGTCAGCAAGTAGCAAATAAAGGCATTTAACTTTCCTCCAGAGTCAGAGATCTAAACCTTCTGTAACAAGGGGTGACTCTCTTTCTACTTGCAAATTTGATGAATCAAACACTTGATTTGTCACATCATTTTTGGCATTACTAGAGCATGGATCAGTAAAAGTATCAAAATCATCTCTTCGACAAACAGATTTAAGAGCATCTAATTTAAATGTCTTTATACAACTCAAGCCCATTTCAGCTGCCAATTTCTGAACATCCAGCACCTTGACAGTCATCAAAATTTGGTATGTTAAGCAACCATCAATTTATTATAATTCTACAAGATTCATACCATTAATTTATCACAATCATATCAAACAAGACTAATATTCTGTGTATAAAAACAGGGCACAGAAAGCTGGCAAGTCATGATACACTGAAATAAATTAGAAAATAGAACAATATGTTAATGCAAGCAATAGGGATGGCAAGTATTTTACTAGAGTTCAGGATTCCCACCTTATTATAAGATCTATCTGTTGCAATGATCCCTCCTTCATCCTTCATAAGTATTGCTATTGCAGTTGTTTTCCCCCCAGGATCCTGATCATCAATTCCTGATTTAGCATCTTATTTTATTCTCCTTTTTTTATTATCTGTTTCTTCTTGTTAAAAATTTAAAATACAATACAACAAAAGCTTGTCTAAAATACAAGAAGATGTCAAGCCTAGTATTTCAATGTAACAAAAAGACTTTTATCACAAAACTAACTTTTATGCATCTGGCAATAATTCAATCAATATATGAAATGAAAGACACCCCCCTTCAAAATAAAAGTTTAAGTTTTAACTTTTAAATGGATGTTCGTCCTTAAATTATCTTGGGAGTATTAAAGAAAAAGAAAACCGACATTCCCAATATGCATACTTGCAAATCTGTCGCCCCAAATGGAAGTCCAGTCGATGCAACCAAATCAATGTCCCAATAAACTCGGGTCCCCTATATACTCTGCAATCTGTTCAAGTTTCACATTGAACATCTCATGGGTATCAGCATCCCTAACAACAGCACTTTCCCTGTCCAAATCCCTCTCCACCAAACTCCCATACACACCCTTGTATTTACCAGCCAACACAAGCACCGGCCCCCCACATCTCGGAATTGCCGTCTCAAGAACATCTTGGGACACCCCTTGAACTATCTCCCTGCTCTCATCCATAGATATATCACAAGTCGTAGGCCCAACAACATCAAGAACCTCCCCCTTCTTCAAATACAACCGCCCCCCTTTCAAATCACGACTAATCACCCTAACCCGAATGTGACTAGTAAGCCAAGAAACCTTCCTATGATCCACCACTCTCCTCTCCTCTCTCCTACCAACATCCTGTCTCTTCTCCTCGCGCCGAATCTTAGAGTCCTTCAATTTCCTCAAGCACCTCTCTTCCTCCCTAGAACCCAATTCAGCAACATCACCCACCTTCACCTTCACCTTCTGTCCACTCCCGGAAAGCCTCAAAACAAGATAACCATCCCCAATGCTAGAAACAACACTACCCTTCAACCCGGCATCTCTTCCCCCAACAATCCTAACAACCTTCTCCTTTTCACTCTTTTCTTTGTCCTCATTCTTTTCCTTGTTCTTGTTTTCCCTGTTCTTGCTGTCCTTGTCAATGTTGCTCCGAACAAGCGCAGCAGGAGCATCACCAACAAACCCTAAACCTTCCTTAGCGGTTCTGCGCTTGATCTGCACCGCCTTAACATCCTCCTTCGCGTTCCTCCCAATTCCCATCCCCTCCTTCCAGCCGTAGCCGGCGAGCAGCGAGGCGCCGAAACCCTCGACGGCGACATCCTTGAACTCGTCTAATCCCGGGTCATCTGGCAGCCTCTGCATGTCGTCCTTGAACTTCTGCAGCATGGAGACCTCCGGCGGAACTCGGCGGAGGGGAGCGGCGGCGTCTTGGTTGTTCTGTTGGGGCTTTTTGTCGGCGCGGAGGTTGAGGCCGTAGGACATGTCGGATCCGGATTCATCCTGAGCGGTGTGGGACACGAATTGGAGGGATTCCGAGTCAGGGTCGGTGGTGGGGAGGTGGAGATTCTTCATCTTTTTGTGGGGCCTCCATTCGTTTTGGATTGGGGGGATTAGGGTTTTGGGGGCGGTAGCAGGGGCGGGTTTCGAAGGGTCGAATTCGGTGATGAGGTGTTTGGTTCCGCCGTTGTCGTTTTGGGCGGCGGAAGAGTCGTCGAAGGTGTTGACGGCTTTGGGCTTCGATTGGTTTTTCGCGGAGGGGACGGAGAAGGAGAGCTTCATGATTTCTAAGAAAAGTTGAAAATTTAGGGTTTTGTGTCGTGGGGAGAGGCTTTTGTGATCGGAATCCTCTCTTCTCTGCTTTTTTTTTTTAATGGAGCCTTCAAAATGTTGAAAATTGCAATTTAAATAAGGAAGCACAATCCAACTTTTCAATATTAAATACTACTATTTATTTTGAAAGAAAGTACTTTTGGAAATTTTTTTCAATAAATTTAAATTTTTCTTAATTTTTTTATTTATCATAATTAGTTATGAATTAAATTTTAATAATTTTAAAATAAATTAAAAAACTTAAACATCATGCAAGATCTGTGTCATTTACGCACAACAACCTTCTTATGCTTGAGATTCGAACTTCAAAGAGTATATAGATTTTTTTTTTGTGTTATTTTGACTTAAATTTTATTTAATGTATCAATTTTTTTATAATTTAAATCAAATCAATCCGATCATAAACATGAGAAAAAAAAAGCAAGAAAAATTATTATGAAAGTTAACCATTTAATATCATAGTTTTAAAAACCGGACCGGTCATCGAACCGATTAATGTTTCAGAAGAACATAAGTACAAGAAAAGTGAAGAACAAGCATCATGACCAGATGATACAAGACGATAGACGAAAGGCCAACACAAGCATCCAACAAGCCAAATCAAGATCAAGACAAAAGCACGTCAAGCACAACCTAAAGCGAAACATAAAGACTCAGACGAAGGTTGGTCAAAGATAATTTGAAAGTCTGACCATATACTAGTTGACCAGAAGAAAGGAAAAGTCAATGCGTTAATAAAAAATGCTTAGACAAAGGTCAAGACTTGAGCTACATATAGAATACCAGACGCAAACAAAAATTGTCACACAATCACCTAAGGAATCAACTTTCAAAGGAAAATTTGAATATCGTCCATACCCATAGGAGAACACACGAAGTCATTGAAATTGTGAGAAGACAATAAGAAAGAAAGAAAGTAAGCATAAACCGTCAAATCTCGAGTGTGTTAGAAACAGGACACCTACTTTTCTAATAAAGATAACGTCTCTACAACTAATCCCTAGGATTCTTTGAAAGTTAGAATCTGCAGATTCAGAACAATATACACATTGTTCATAAATAGGAAGCAACATTTAATGCAAGATCAAGTGCATTAAATAAAAGGATCAAACTAGTCATGAACGATCATATATATATATCACTACTTTAAACCTTGAAAGGTTGGCTTGTCGAATACAAACAAAAAAAGTGATATCAAGCCCATAAAGCAACGAAGGCAAAGACAGAGCATATAGAGTCAAATGTACCTTAGTGTATTCGTCTCTGTAAACTAATAAAACCTTAGTGAGTGTACCAACTTATGTATCCTCTCCATGAGAGTAAACTAAACACTCAATCGTTGTAAGACTAAGGTAGTGAAACCTTAGAAAGTGTAGATCATATATGTATCCTCTCTGTGAGAGTAACTCAAACACTCAAACTTGGTTATACGTCTATCATTTGTAAAGCTTGAAGAGGCTAGGGAAAGAATAC